TCCGGTGGTTGGAATGTCGAACTGAACCCTTTATTTCGCTCACGGGTTTAAACTGTTCTAGTTCCATGTGCCATGTTTAATGGATGTCAGTTATCAGTTATCTCCTGTTAATTCCCCTCTCCAAGTTCTCCACTGCCTTAGCCAGGTATTGAACTCACACACTTTGGGTCCTGTCACTGGATCTAACTAACGCTTTTATCCACTGTGCCAAGTGTCCTGTTGATGACGTTATGCTAATGTCGAATGTACTCGGAATAAATGAATATGTATCAACATGGTAATTTTCTCTCTTCCATTAATAAGGATATTAAGAAATTTGTCCGTGACCCTATTGAAAATAAGTAAACAAAACTTTTCTAAATTATCCCATGAAACATGTCTTAATATATATATATATATATATATATATATATATATATATATATATATATATATATATAATATTTGTATTATATATTAATATAATTAATAAATATATATATATATATATATATATATATATATATATATATATATATATAATAGTAGTAAATATACACATACATATACAAAATATATGAATATATATACATACATGCATACACATACATATATATATTTTTTGAATAAAAAAATTCCAAGAGGATAGAATCCAGGTAGAATTCAATGTCCAGGACAGAGTAAGGATATAATAAAAAAGGCTTAAACACTAATATTCCATGGTCATAATATATATATATAAAGATTACCCAAACTGAAAATTCGGTTTTACCATATACGCAATAAGGGTAAAAATCCAAAATATTTCAGAAGCTTTATTTTTAATTTGCTAATGAATTAATTGAGTAGTACTTATATATTTTAATGCATTTAACAGTCAGTTTATAGCTATTGCAGAAAACAAATGCTTTAAAATAAACAAAGACATGTTCTAGAAGATTCCAGAAAGTTCTGGAAAGCTCCAGGAATCATAATATTATTATACTTATATATGATATTAGAAATTTCGTGTTGGGGTGACATTAAAAAAGTAAGCTGAAATAAATCCTTCTTCATTATTTTTTTAACAAAAGTTAATCGAATTATGTTACAGGAAATCAATCATTTTACAAAAGTCAAAAATCCTAACCCTAGTGCGTATGCATTCATTTTTGACTATATTTCTATGGCCGTATAGAGTAAGACACGCAAAGAACTTTCCTTCAAAATCTGTCATACATTCCCCAAACTATTCTTCTAGAAATCCCTTGCCAGCATAAAAGGGTTTCTATGACTTGAAGGGATTGATTTCCTTGAGGTCACGCAATGCAGAAAAAAAAAAAACTTCTGTTAAAAAAACCGTTCACTCCACTGAAGTAGAGAGGCAAGGAAATGGTGTGACAATAAATGAATAAAGACTGTAAAATGAATGAGGAAATGATAAAAAATATAAAAATTTTGTGAATTCATTATTAATAATTTTCGCAACATCTGGCCACCACAAATGGAAAATATTATTACATTATATTTGCGTTTGAAACAAAAAAAAGAGTTTGTTATTACGATTACAATGACAGACAGACAGACAAAAGAAAAAAAAAAAAAAAAGAAGGAAGAAAGGAAGGAAAGAAGGAAAATGTGTAATTTGTGAGATGAACCGACAAACAGACAAACACACATAAAGAAAGAAACAAGTAAAAACACAAATACAAAGAAAGAAAGAAAGAAAGAAAGAAAGAAAGAAAGAAAGAATGACTATTTTGTGAGATGAACCGACGGACAGACAATCACAAAGAAAGAAAGAAAGAAAGAAAGAAAGAAAGAAAGAAAGAAAGAAAGAAAGAAAGGTGAATGTATTTTGTGAGATGAACCGACAAACAGACAAACACACATAAAGAAAGAAACAAGTAAAAACACAAATACAAAGAAAGAAAGCAAGAAAGAAAGAACGAAAGAAAGAAAGAAAGAAAGACAAAGAAAGAACGAAAAGAAAGAAAGAAAGAAAGAAAGAAAGAAGGAAAGAAAGTATATATTTTGTGAGATGAACCGACAAACAGACAAACACAAAAGAAAGAAAAGAAAAACACAAATACAAAGAAAGAAAGAAAGAAAGAAAGAAAGAAAGAAAGAAAGAAAGAAAGAATGACGTATATATTTTGTGAGATGAACCGACGGACAGACAATCACAAAGAAAGAAAGAAAGAAAGAAAGAAAGAAAGAAAGGTGAATGTATTTTGCGAGATGGACCGACAGACAGACAATCACACAGGTAGGAAGACAGGCATAAAGAAAGAAAGAAAGAAAGAAAGAAAGAAAAACAAACAAACAAATAAACAAACAAACAAACAAACAAAGACGTGAAATGAAAACAAAGAAAGAAAGTAAAACCTGTGTACTCTATGACATGGGAAAAGAAAAAAATAATATACCTCGAATAGTAGAAAGCAAAAGATAAAATTTACGGAAGACAGAAAGAAAAGTAGAAACGTTGTTGTTGATGAAGTTGGGAGAGTGGGGCCTGTTCAGGCAGAGTGATAACCATTTGGGTAGCGGGTGGATATCAAGGCGTTGGGTGGGGTTCTTTAGCATCAATATGTATAAAACAATATGTCGCCGGATTGTACTTTCGCACCTTTTCGCTCCACAACATCAAACCGCATATTTTATGTCGAGCAGCCCAAGTGCGCCCTCCAGCACCTGACGCCTACAACGTGTCACACATTGGGCGGGCATCTGTCCCTCGATTTTTTTTTACCACTTCCAATTTTAAACATACCCCTCCCTTCTACTTCTTTCCCAATTTTATAACTCCTCTCCATTTTTCGTTTTTTTTTTAAAACTTCTTCCTTTTGGATTTATCTATCCATTTTATTTTTTTTTTCATTTTTTTTTTTTTTGTTTCTTTCTTTCCTTTTTGGAATACGCCTTCTTTCCACTTTCTTTTCTTTTTTTTCTTTTCTTTATCTTTTTCTTTTTATCATTCTTTTCTTTGTTTTTTCTTCCTTTTGATTTTTTAATTGTTTCTTTCCTTTTTTTCTTCTTTCTTTTTTTTACTCCTTTTCTTTTTCATTTTTCTTTTGTCTTTCTTTTTCTGGTTTCATTTTCTTTTTGTTTTTCTTTTTTTTTTATCATTCTTTTTTTTTTTTCGTCTTTTTCTTCTTCTTTTCATTGCTTTTCTTTCTTCGGTTTCTCTTTATATTTTCACATTTTTCTTTCAGTTTTGTTTTCTTTTTTTTTTCTTCTTTTTTTTTTTTTATCTGTCTATATTTCTGAGATGAGGTATTTTTCATTTTTCATTTTGTCTTTTCTTTCTCCGGCCTTCTTCAAGTTTTGAATTTTCTGAACATTTTAAGTTTTGTTCTAAAGTGGCATGCCTCTTCTGGATGTCTATCTTTAACTCAACTCTCCAAGATATATATATATATATATATATATATATATATATATATATATATATATATATATAGATATATAGATTGATGGGATTGTTTCAGTGTTTTTTGGCTAAGCCGTATAGTTTTTATTATAGCGCCCTACACACACATATATATCTGTGTGCATGTGCGTGTCTGTGCGTAAGTAAGGGGCTATAATATAAACTATATTACACACGCGCACACATACACATACACATACACATACACACACACGTATATGTGTGTGCGTATGTGTGTGTGTGTGTGTGTGTGTGAGAGAGAGAGAGAGAGGGAGAGAGAGATCAATCGCGTTCTAGCTCAGATAAAAGTCAAGTTTCTTAAATTGAGATGTCTTGATTGCAAAAATAAAAAAATGCCTTAATAAAATATTTTTATACCAAACTCATCCATCTTCGATCTGATCTCTTGCCGGATTGCACTAAACTATATATATATATATATATATATATATATATATATATATATATATATATATATAATCTCTCCTCTCCCGCGTTCGACGTATGATGGTCAGGCCGATAAGACCCCAGGAACCGACATCCCTGACACCGGCACATGAGATTTGTTTATAGTGGTGAAGGCCTTGTGCAGGACCAGCCACACTTTTTGGAGGGACAAATACAGAAACCTGGTGCACCGAATGCATGCCACAAGGTTCCCAAACGACCCTCCGCAGGTTTTGAATTCAGAGTTGTCCTTCTCCTATACCAGTTACCATCCAAGGCTATAGAACCCAGTCTGTCCTGCTATTTTACCCATAGCTGGAGGGAGATGAAGAGGATACATACCTTTCCCAAGGGTATTAGCACGTTAGTGAATGCAGTGGTTTCGACTGGAATTCAATCCAAGCCGCTAACCACTGCTCCACCGTGCCTCCTCCTATATATATATATATATATATATATATATATATATATATATATTATATATTTTTTCAATCTTGCCAAATTCATCTGTATTCATTTTCTTTTTCTCCCCATCACCTTTGTCCATGACTATCCCTCGTTGTGACAACAGAAAATCTACCAAGTATGGTGAGATATTTTACGTGTCTGAACGCAAATTTACCGTGGTTGAACTAGAGATCAAGGCAAGTCTCCAGACATTTTCATCTCAGTGGATTATTTTCTCTTTTAATCAAAGTAGCGTTCCCTATCTAAAAATTGTGGCCCGTTTTGTTACAGTGAATAACCAATGCGTTTTTTTTTGTGCTGTTTTTTTTTTAAATGTCGCTTTTGTGTTCATACAGTCTTTTGTTTACAATTCTTGAGGTTTCTCCCATGTATACATTTTTGCAATTCCTGCATTTGATAGCGTAAATTCCTCCTCCAAACTTTGGCGTGTTGATTTGTATTTTTATTAATTAACTCTTTGATTATTTTAGATGTAGCTGTGACAAATTTTATAGTCAGTTTAGATAAATTCTTTTCGTTTGTAGTTGTGATAGAGTTAGTGGATAGATTTTTTGATTCGTAGGGTTTGTCAGTAAGGATGGCTCTTCTATTTTTGAATATTTTATGAGCCTGTTGTTTCCCATTGAATATAAAATAGTGTATTGAAGGGTCTTGAATGTATTTTCAATATAGTTCTCCTCCTCGTGTAAATATTAAGGGCTGCAAATTCTAAGTGCTCTTAAATAGAAAGCAATGATCATTCCGGATTTTCTTTTTTGCTATGATGGGAATAGAAGTTTATTAAGTCATAGTTAGTGGTTGATATTCGGTGGACACTAAGTTTTAGGTTGCTGTCATCTCAGTGTTATGATGTCTCAGAAAGGTAAAGTATTGTTTTTTTTTATTTCGTATGTAAATTTTATTGTCTGTTCGACTTTGTTTAGTTTACCTACAAGATCCGCTAAGTTAGTATCACAGGGATATATTAATAGAGCATCATCAATATATCGGAAGTAATTTGATTGTTTAGGTAAAATGTTTTGGAAATAGACAGACTCTAGAAATTCATTACTTATGCTATTACTCCAATGAGAGGCGATCCCATTGGAAAGTCATTTTTTTTGTGAAAAATACTATTGAATATGAAATAGCATTGATTGGCAAATTTTTATTAATTTAGCAATTGGTAGAGAGAGGCTTATCTTTAATTTTGTTAGATGCTTTTTTAAGAAATTTAGACATATTTTTTTTACCGGGATATTAGTGTAAAGTGATTTTATATCTTGACTGGCCATGAATTTCATATTTATTTCCCTTAGCTTTTCGACAAGGTTGTCTGAATATTTTATATGTTATGGACTTATTGTTCCAAGGAGCGGGGTTAATATTTTTGCTATGACTCTAGCTATTTTGTGGGAGACGCTGATGGTGCGCATAGGGATACCAGTTGTGTGTGTCTTAGGGTGACCGTAAAGTTTTGGTGTTCTAGGGTCAAATTCTTTGAATCTATTCCACGATTTGTTTTTATTTTTTAATCAGTTTCCTGATTTTTTGATGATTTTTTTGTCTTTCAGTATTTTAAACATTTGGTCGTTTATTTTTTCGTATGTGTCTGTATCATTGAGGAGTGAGTTAATTTTTTTCTATTTATGTAAACTTGTTTATGATTACAATCTCTCCCCCACCATTATCAGAGGAAGTAATGTGGATTTCCTTATTTCTCTTTAGATTTTTTAGTGCATTAGGTGTCTTAGAAGCAAGGTATTGGTTTTTATAGTAGTATGATTGTGCCTCGAATGAAACCTTTGGTGAATTCGGATTTGTTAATCCTTGATTTTTTATATATATTTTATATATATATATATATATATTATTATCCTCTCCTATACTGTTGAGTTTTTCCGGTCTTTTTTCGCAGGAGACTTAGGTTAAAGTCCCCACCGAGGAGGTTTTATCCTCCACACAACGTGGTGTAATGGTTGGCAAGTTTGTCTGAGTAGAGAAATTATGACTGAGTAGTGAATTCTATTCTCATCGGGTTCCGTACTTTCAGCCACATCTAAGCTACGTTCCGATATATATATATATATATATATATATGTATGTATGTATATGTATGTATGTATTTGGTTGAGTTATAAGAACACATTTACACTCAAACTGCACACACACACATATATTTAGATCGACAATTATCTTATGTTTCTTTGTCATATTTTAGTTTGTGTTTAAACTTTATGGCAGCGGGAGAGTGTCGGGTTGGATGGGTGATTTTTTTCATGATTCAAACTTTATTCTGTTATTTAATAGCGAACTCACTTTTGTTTATAACTTCAGTCTCTGGGTAAGAAGGGGGCGGTGTGTATACTTTATACTTAGACATTGATCCTTTTATATTTGTATCTGTGCGTAAAGAGTGTTCAGGTTTCTACTTGTGCTTTTATTTAAGCACTCGGCATGCTTTCGCTTTCGTCTCCACACGCAAATTTTCGATTATTTTTTTTTTAATTTATAAGCAAACAAGCATTGGTCGTCTTTTTTATACTTTATAGCTAAACATTGTTCTGGTTTATACATTATAGGGAATCATTGGACGAGTCCATATTATATGGCTAAACAATGCTCGTGTAAATACTTTACAGGTACTCAATAGCCCGAGATTTACTTGACCCCCACCACAGAGGCAGGTTGTGACACAAGGTAGGTTTCTAATGTAGACACCCGAGTCGAAATACTCGGGTCGCTGCTCTTAGCTTGTCTAACCTGGTCTTAGCTGGTCAGAGCTTGTCTAAGCTGGTCAGAGCTTGTCTAAGCTGGTCAGAGCTTGTCTAAGCTAGTCATTGCCAGTCATATCACCGCTATGTAACAGATGTCACGCAACGGCGGGGGAGAACGGAAAGGAGGAGAGAAGGCCTACGGCATAAAAGAGATACTATATCTGCAGCATCCATCCACGGAAAAAAAATAACCACTTCTCCTCTGCCAATTATTCCGAACGAATCCGGAAGGAAAGCCCAAATGATTTTCTGAGCGTAGCTTAGATATGGCACAAGGCAGAAAGTGTGAGGCACCCAGTGATTACTGAACTCACTACTAAGCTGTAATGTATAAAAACCCGATAGTCAATAGCCGTATTCTTACTCCATACACAAACATTGACCGGATTCATGGTTTATAGGTAAACATTATTCGGCTTTATATATTATAGCAAA